CTTTTGTCTTTATTTTATTGGTAACAGGAACGTACGTTAAAGATATATCACTATATTAACTTCTATCCTGTTACCTTTTTGTCTATCCTGTTACCGATAGCAGTATTGCACCTGCAAATGCTAAATTGCGAAGATTAAGGCGTTATAACCTTTAGATGAGTTCAAACAACAAAACATTTCATTATGTGTGCAACTATATGTTATCATAAACTTTTTAAAGACGTTTCTGTTTACTATTGTCTATCCTGTAACTGTAACCATAGCACCATAGTAACAGGATAGACATAACAGGATAGACAAATTTTATCATGTTTGAATGCTGTTGTGAAATAACTACTCCCTTTGATGAAGTGATAATGTTTTTCTGTTGTAATTTTGGTTTCCAACATGTTATTGCACTTTTTGCAAGTATGATATTGGTGTAATTAATCAATATGCTGGTAACAGCATAGACATTACAAAAAAGTACCCACTATTTTTTTTCACTAAATATCTTGAAATTTCTTTTCTCTACACTGTTATACAAGAAATGTGCTGTGTTAAATGTTTAGGTTACTTTGCACTTTTGAAATCAACACTGACTAGTTCAATATTCATAGAGAAAAATTTAACGGCTGATTAAAGTAGCGGTAACAGGATGGACATGAACTTCATGTACGCTGATTGAATTTAGTTTTTAAAAAAATGGTACATATAATAATAAAGAAGCTGCGATTTTTCATTAGAGTTATTATTTATGTTCTAAAAAAGTCCCTTTTGCAGATATCAAGGCGATCAGAAAATAGGAAAAAAATCATTTGAAATGTGTTACTCGGACACTGTTACGCACATAAATTACGCAAAAATCGGACTTAAATATATTTCAATCTTATCAAAATAGATCTAAATCGTGTTAATTTATTAATGTTCTGACCCATAAATCCTACAAACTTTCATTTAAACACTAACAACGGCATTTTCCCATTAGAAATAAAAATTTTAGCATGGGTGTACTGAAAATTCAACATTTTTTGAAAATGACCCATATATTAGGCATGAACATGATGAAGATGGAATTGATTGCAGATAAGCTAAATTGTCTGTCGTAAAGGATCATAAGATGCAGTCACAGAAATTATTATTTGATAATTAAGTCTAAACTCTATGACAGATCCATGATCCATTGGATCACCAGTGAATATATATAGAAAATAAATAAAAAGGAAACCAGCCAATTTAATATGTACCGGAATGACTAGAATAGACGATACCGCGCAGATAGGGAAAAAAATATAAAAGATTTGCACAACGGTACTAATATAAAATGGTAATATACGAAAATGATGTTATAAAATCGTGTTGACAAATATTTCGGCTTAAGCTTCAATTTAAATAAATGTGACGAAGTCTAAAAAGTGTGGTACTGTGTGTACTGGGGTATTATGTTCGTGCGATGGTAATGTTATAATCTCCACTCGATACAGTATAAGCTTGTCTCTTGACGTTTACCCAACACAGACGAATCCGGGTCCGTTCGCGCCCAATCACGTTCGCCCCCATGCACGTTCGCCCCCTTTCACTTTCGCACCCTACACGTTCGCACCCAAAGTCCGTTCGCACCCTACACGTTCGCGCCCAATTTTTATTGGTTTTGTGTTTAATAATTTGTAAACGAGTTTTGGTAAGTGTATTGCTATAAATATATATTTTTTCATTGTTTCTAAATAAAGTGAGATTCTGACAACGTTTTTTTAGGTGTTGATAAAATCTTAATCATGTTTTGGTTAGTGTATTGCTATAAATATTTCTTTTTTATTGTTTCAAAAGGAAATGGGATTCTGACAACGTTTTTTTTTTATATGTTGAATAATTCGTAATCATGTTTTGGATAGTGTATTGCTATAAATATTTTTTTTTCATTGTTTATGAATAAAGTGAGATTCTGACACACATGAGATCAAAGGAGCCAAGCTGTTAAAAACAATTATCTTTCATGTTTTTTATTTAAAATCTTCAAAGTTTTACTCATACCAAGCTAAATACATGCAGTATTTACATTTAAAGCAAGTTAAAACAACCATGACAACAATCATGATTTTTAAACACCCAACAATAACATCATATTAGGCTGTGTATAAATACCAATTAGCAGTAATCATACATAATTAACATTTAATAATTAATCATCAAATCAATTTAAAACAATATTTCATTTAAAAATTCCTGAATTTTTATTTATGAAAATAAAAATATTTTACAAAACATCTAAAAATTTATCAGGTTTTTGAATAAAAAAAGGGTGCGAACGTGTAGGGTGCGAACGGACCTAGGGGGCGAACGTGTGGGGTGCGAACGTGTAGGGTGCGAACGTGTATTGGGCGCGAACGGACCCGATACCAACACAGACGATGAATGCCAAGTACATGCACTTTTTACAAGATAATCCATAATTTTGTTATGCATGCTATGGTTTTCAAGATATTCAAGACAATAAATGCATTTTATACTTATATTTTATTTTTATCCATGGGTAATTATCGTTGTGAATTGACTATTGTATCACATGGACAAAAGAGTCATTTTTTTTTAAACGACACACAATGCATTAAACTTTTACTATGTTTACAGGATCACGTTTTTTCTGTACTCAATAATTTTTGTGTTGGAAACGCGGCCATTTTGTCAATACGTTAACAAGAACCTTCACTGAGTTCCAAATTTGAACAGCATCAGTATTCCAATTGTCCCTGCAATCTTATGAAATACTCATCAAATGTAAAGTAAAAGTAACAAAATAGCACCAGGATATTATTTTTAGGACGAAATCATAGTAACCCAAAATAATACGGAAAAACAATGACATAAATCCGGTATCTGTAAGCGTACAGAGACGTGCAATAAACAGCTGCGCCATGAGCACATGATACGCCCGTCGTCTTGTGTGTGAATTTTTATGCAATAAGCATAAATAGTTTCTTACATACGGCGTGACATGGGAAAACCCCCCCTTTTAAAAAAAAAAAATCAATATCTCAAAAATAAAATTTTGAATCAAAACCAAAAAGTATACAGATCTTTAGATTAATATAACTAAGAAGTGTGTAAAATTTTAAGCAATAATCATAAATCGTTTTAGAGATACGGCGCGACATGTGAAAAACCCCTCCCCTTTTTTAACAAAATACTCAATATCTCTAAAATAAAATTTTGAATCATCACCAAAAAGTATACAGATCTTAAGATTAATATAACTAAGAAGTGTGTAAAGTTTTAAGCAATAATCATAAATTGTTTTTGAGATACGGCGCGACATGTGAAAAAAAACACACACCTAGCTGTTTTAGTTACTAAGTCCCGTAACTCAAAAAGTTTTAATCTTATTTTCACCAAAAAGTATACAGATCGTTTGACCATCATAAGAAACAACCATGTTAAGTTTCATGAAATTTGGATAAGTCATTCTCAAGTTACGGTGCGACATGTTTACGCCGGACAGACAGACGGACAGACAGACAGACAGACGGACAGACGGACAGACAGACAGACGGACGGACAGACGGATGGACGGACAGACAGACAGACGGACGGACGCCGGACATTTGTATAACATAATACGTCCCGTCAAAAATTTGACGGGCGTATAAAAGGTATTCGGTCACAATGGCGGCGTGTTAATGCTTGTGCTGTAAATAGATCAACAAATGAAATACAACTAATATCACTGGCCACAAATGTTCATTCCGCCGTGTATTTATTCCGGGTAACTGTTTTTCACTAGAGAATATTGGATGTAAATAGTGTGAAAGTTGTAAGCGTACTTTCATTCCGCCGTGTATTTATTCCGGGTAACTGTTTTTCAATAGAGAATATTATGGATGTAAATAGTGTGAAAGCGTCGATCTTGATATTGTTGTTTTGTTTATATAAGCCGGGTTATTGTTTACATAAATAAATGGGTTATAATTAACAAAAATTTCAAGGAACCAGTTTAAGGTGGTACCTAACACTACAGGGAGATAACTCTGCAAAAATCAGCTAAACGTTTAAATTACGTTGTATTGTTCAGGAAATATTAAGCTTCTCAATGATCAAAATATGGGTTTGTCAAACTGCTATATAACCAACGAAATTTTTCTGATAAAGTGGTTGGTTCAAATTTTTTGAAATTTTTATATTTTTGTCAAAGGGTCAATAGCATTTTGTCAAAATTTTATGAAAATTAAACGAGCCAAATTGATATAAGTCAAGGTGTTGGGTACCACCTTAAGATCGTTTAATTAATCAATGTTAATCTGAGTCAATCTAGTAGATATTGCTATGCAAGTTTCAAATACACTAAAACCAGAAGTCCATTACTAGACAAAGTGAGCAACCTGTGCTATATAGTAAGGCGATCACGATGTCCCCTTTATCAATGGAAAGCGCAATTGGTGGTCCCCGCAAATCTCGTTTTATAACTATATGGATTCATGGGTAAAAACATTATCAAAAAAAAAAATTCATCAAACAGATAGCTGTTAATTAGTCTCCTTGAGTGTTTGATAGATTATCAGTTTGTTGTAAATAAGGTGAGCCGACTTAATGCGGTGGTTTCTATAATATTGCCAGTTATTTAACTTCTTCATTTTAATTCAACATTTAGAAAATGATATAAAATTAAAACGTAAAATGGCGCACCTTAGTGTAACTAACAATTTAAATTTATTTATTTGTTCTTAATATGCAATTAGTCATTTTACTTGTATGCACTTGCACCCATTTACATATTTGTGCTGTACTTTTTGTTGTGCATGGTTTTCCTTTTTTTATATGAACATAATAAATCATAATTGTAATATATACATTAGTTTGTCCTCAACACTGACTCATAAATAATTTAAGTTCTAAGTTCCAGGCTCTAAGCTAGCAAGCAGATAAGATGAAGACATTGAATATCAGAAATTTATTAAACATTGACATTGCTTTACATGAATCAGAAAAGAAATTAAAAGATAACAAAACTTGAATAAGTCTTTACATACCAGCCAGGTTGAAGAAGTAAAAGCCCTTTACTCTCAACAATCCTAGATCTATTTTGTACCATTTTGCTGTTTGTGAGTCAGTCATGTTTCTTCTTCCTGCTAATTACAATATAATAATCAGGGTTTTCTCTTTCTTTTAACCTGTATGCAATTTCTATCTGAAATAAAATTAGCTTTGCTTTATCATCATATACATGTAGTGTACTCTGCAAGACTTTTCAGGGCCAGCCTATGATTTAAAATTCAGTGAGACTATTTTCTGAAAGGGTGGTATAGGTTTCATAAAAATCTGGTAAAAATTGTACACGCAAGAGTGGTTACGATGCATTTTCCATAAAATTAATATTTCCAAGGGCATAACTCTTTCCAAAAAAAGGGTATGGGTAATTGAAAATGTAATTGTAATTAAGTGTAATGCATTACAATTTTATATGTAATTGAATGTAATGTGTAATTGAGCATTTTTTAAATTACATGTAATGGTAATTTAATTAATTACATTGAAAAAAACGTGTAATGCTAAATTACTTTTCAATTACATGACTTGTGCATGTAATTTTTTATGTTAATCATAAGGAATTATGTTAACATTAATTGTAAAATAATATTTAATTCACATATATTAATAAGAAACCAATAAATCCTAATGAAACTTTTAGAGCAAACTGCCATCAATGTACTTCTAAAATATGTGGAAGTTTGACTTTGTGACTTATATGAAGGTAAAAATGTTTTAAATCCTTGCACACACTAATTTTGTCAAATAGGTATACACAATAAGTTTATAGAAATAAAATTATCAGCTGTAAAAACAAATGGCAATTAGTCTGATCAATATATGAGTAAAACAGCCTAGGGACAATGTAAACTAATACATGTATTTTATCTAATTAGCAGATGTATACAAATATATGAAGCATTATACTTCCAATTATTTTCAATGTTATGACAACTATATTTCTTTTGAAATTTTTAAAGAACAAAATAAATTTGTAATTTATATAAAACTTTTTAATTAAATTACAAAGAAATCCTTCTTCTTAAAAATGAGAAGAAAATAAGTTAGCAACCTAAGTTGGTTACCTTAATTAAAGGAAATCCAATGGTATTTGACCAAATGCAAAATAAAAAACGGATGCCTAATGATGTTTGTTGCCTTTGCCATATATATAGCTTGGCAATAGTTAAAATTGAAAAGTTTAGAAATTTAATGACAATAGACAATAGCTGACAAAAAATACCAGTTATCAAGTAAATGAAAACACTTTACATCCAAATTGTCACATAAGCTTACAATAGATATAAGAAGATGTGATATGAGTGCCAATGAGACAACTCTCCATCCAAGCCACAATTTATAAAAGTAAACCATTATAGGTCAAAGTACGGTCTTCAACACGGAGCCTTGGCTCATGCGATATATATAAAAAGAATCAAGAGGTCAAATTCAGTTGAGGGAAGAAGATTTAACATTGTTAGGCTAAATTTGAGACAAGTTAAATATATTTACATTGTACATAACATATTGGTTTATACAATTCTGATAAAATGCAATGTGTAATTTAATTAATTACTTTGGTAAAGTAATTGTAATTTAATTAATTACATTGCCAAAACTGTGTAATGGTAATTAGCGTAATTGATCATTTTTGCAATGTAATGTGTAATTCAATTAGTTACATTCCAATGTAATTGACCCCAAGTCTGGAACCTCAACCCTCATCATTTGGGTTAACTGTGGGGATTGACTAGTTGACACATGGTAGACACTGGTGGGTGGTCCAGGTTGGGTCTGGCTGTAGTGGTCATCATCAAATATATTTCAATATTCAAATATATGTATGTACAATCCATGAAACAATTATAGCTCTTTACTATGTAACCATTATGTTAAGTTCATCATCTCCATTATCAATATAATACCTAAGCTTCAATTCTTCTTTTTTTTTAAACTAAGTCTTACTTTATAAATTTCTTGACCTGACAATCACAAAATAAATGACTGCCCAATCAGATTTAGTCCTTCATAAAAAAAAATGCTGGACTATTTTTTATACGCCCGTCAAAATTTTGAAGGGACGTATTATGGTATACAAACGTGGTCTATATCCCTCTGTCTGTCCGGCGTAAACATGTCGCACCGTAACTTGAGAACGACTTATCCGAATTTCATGAAACTTAACATAGTTGTTTCTTATGATAGTCAAACGATCTGTATACTTTTTGGTGAAAATAAGATTAAAACTATTTGAGTTACGGGACTTGGTAACTAAAACAGGTGTGTGTTTTTTTCACATGTCGCGTCCTTATAATCTCAAAAACAATTTATGATTATTGCTTAAAACTTTACACACTTCTTAGTTATATTATTCTTAAGATCTGTATACTTTTTGGTGATGATTCAAAATTTTATTTTTGAGTTATTGAGTATTTTGTAAAAAAAGGGGGAGGGGTTTTTCACATGTCGCGCTGTATCTCAAAAACGATTTATGATTATTGCTTAAAATTTTACACACTTCTTATCTATATTATTCTAAAGATCTGTATACTTTTTGGTTTTGATTCAAAATTTTATTTTTGAGATATTGATTTTTTTTTTTAAAAGGGGGGTTTTCACATGTCACGCCGTATCTCAAAAACAATTTATGATTATTGCTTAAAATTTTACACATATCTTAGTTATATTAATCTTAAGATCTGTATACTTTTTGGTTTTGATTCAAAATTTTACTTTTGAGATATTGAGTTTTTTGTAAAAAAAAAAGGGGGGGTTTTCGCATGTCGCGCCATATATCAGAAACTATTTATGATTATTGCATAACAATTCACACACAAGATGACGGGCGTGTCATGCGCTCATGGCGCAGCTGTTTATTGTAATCCTTGACAACATAAAATCTTGTGGGTTACCAAACAATAGAACATACTTACCCACTTGGCCTCAGGCTTTAAAATTCATAAAACATGACCAAGTATTATCAGTCAGGGGACTTACTTAAATGAGTGATTAAGAAATCACTGATTCAGGTAACATTTTTTCCAGAAATGCATGTTGGAAGTAAGAGTTGTCTTTCTTTAATAATCACCTATTTAAGTAGTACAAATAAATCACTAAGTGATTTAATTTTATGTAGCTTTAATTATATAAAACCAATGATCCAGGGACTAATTATGTTGCTAAAATTATCAGAACCAACATCTGTGTTTATAGGATGACCGGTCCTGTCAGGTGATGACCTTGTACTGAATCTGGGATAATGACATGAAAATCACTTGTTTAAGTATAATACATTGTCATACCTCTAGTTTCTTCAATAAAATCACTTCCTTAAGTATTATTATTTAAAATAGCCCCACTAATTTCAACACCCCCAAACAGTAAAATTTTAATGGCAATCAGTAAAATTTTATTACAAAACCTGTAAGATGAAACCTTGAATTTTACAGGAAAAATACTCCAACTGCTGGGAACAATCTGTAAAGAAAGTATTAGATCATTATTTAAAGCTTTATTACAGCATTTTTTTCAAAAATATAGAATTTACAGATGAAAGATTGCATCAAAAGCATAAACCTTGCTACTTTAAAAAACCAAAAGGTTAATTTTTTTTCAATTTTACTAATAGTTAGATATAATCTAAACCTGTATATTTAAAATTTTGGTAAAACTACAAAATCACAGAATTTCTAATTTGCTACTTAAATGAGTGATTAATGAATCAATTATTTCAGTAATTCCCCTGACTGATTATCTAACCTATACTTACAGTCAGGGGTAATACTTGTACAAGTAATTTTTAATTACTTGAAGAAGTAAATATTAATATACTTATATAAGTAAATATGTAAGATACTTATACAAGTGTATTTTATTCACTTGTATAGGTAAATTATTTTATTGGCTTAGTTATGTCCCTTAGACATTCAGATTTTTTTACTTATACAGGTCAAAAATCGTACTATTTTCTTTTCATGAATTTCTCCAGACTTCTTTGCTGTAATAGAATTTTTAATTGTCTGTCTTTTGCAGATGTCTTTACTAATCATGTAAGTGTAATTTCATGGACAATGAAAATCTCATTTGTCTGTTATCTTCAGAACACTGCTCATTTACAAGCCCCCAAGGGGCAATTTTTGAAGGCCTTGCACTATTACTTAAGATCTTTGCACAATTAGTTTCTTTGTTGAATTAATGAGATGAAACATTGAACTCTAATAAAAAAAGTATGAGCTAACCTGAGAAAAATTGTTAAAGGCATGTTTTTACATCTCAAATTGTCGAATTTTGAAAATGCAAAATTGATTTAAAGTTACTTATTCAAACAACCCTCGTCATAAGCAAATCAAAACAAACAGTACTTATAGAACAACATATAAAAAGATGCAATCTTGATAATGTCATACAAGAATATATTGAAACATTTTTTGATAGGTGGTGCAATATCTTGTCTGTCCTGTTACCATGTTCAGAAGAAATTCTGTTATTTAGAAAAGGTTTCAATAAAATTTTAAGCTTGTTTTTCGTAGCCAAAAAGATGGTTTTCAAGAGTAAAAACTTCTGAATATATTCCCTCTGTGAAATTATTTGCCAATTTTCCATCTTGTACCGAAAAATGCCTCTAAAAATTGGTTTTCAAAGGTTATAAAAATAACCACCAGTAATGCAAGTCTAAGATAGCAATTCATAATGTTCAGCATTTGTTCTCTCTTTCAAATAAACCCAACATCAAGTAAATCCCTCGCACGTTGGTTTACTTTTGTCTTTATTTTATTGGTAACAGGAACGTACGTTAATGATATATCACTATATTAAGTTCTATCCTGTTATCTTTTTGTCTATCCTGTTACCGATAGCAGTATTGCACCTGCAAATGCTAAATTGCGAAGATTAAGGCGTTATAACCTTTAGATGAGTTCAAACAACAAAACATTTCATTATGTGTGCAACTATATGTTATCATAAACTTTTAAAGACGTTTCTGTTTACTATTGTCTATCCTGTAACTGTAACCATAGCACCATAGTAACAGGATAGACATAACAGGATAGACAAATTTTATCATTTTTGAATGCTTTTGTGAAATAACTACTCCCTTTGATGAAGTGATAATGTTTTTCTGTTGTGATTTTGGTTTCCAACATGTTATTGCACTTTTTGCAAGTATGATATTGGTGTAATTAATCAATATGCTGGTAACAGCATAGACATTACAAAAAAGTACCCACTATTTTTTTTCACAAAATAACTTGAAATTTCCTTTCTCTACACTGTTATACAAGAAATGTGCTGTGTTAAATGTTTAGGTTACTTTGCGCTTTTAAAATCAACACTGACTAGTTCAATATTCATAGAGAAAAATTTAACGGCTGATTAAAGTAGCGGTAACAGGATGGAAATGAACTTCATGTACGCTGATTGAATTTAGTTTTTATAAAAAATGGTACATATAATAATAAAGAAGCTGCGATTTTTCATTAGAGTTATTATTAACGTTCTAAAAAAAG